CACCATCTTCAACGTGACACACCGGGCATAGGCGAGATTCCCTATTCGTAAATCTGCATAAGTGGCTTGCAAACTTTCCATGGTTAGTGAGCAGTTGTGTAGTGTAAAAATTTGCAGAGAACTATTGTAGGTAATAAAAATAATTTATATTAGTAATGAACTGAAAAGTATGGCCGTTATGGTAAGAACTCCATCTATTTTGCCAGTCGTTTATGGTGTCTTTCCATAGCATCTGCCGAACAGTCTGCTTGCTATATTTATCGTATACTATCGGGGCTAAATTATCCTCGGCGGCTAGTTTTGCTAGGGTATCTGCTCTTTCATTCCCTGACTCTCCTTGATGAGCGCGAATCCAAGTGATTGCAAATATGCAATCAGAGACACTAATGAGATAATTGATCTCAGCTACAATAGGATACGACGCGATATTTTTAACAGCATTATATGCCGACATTGAATCGGTGTGTATATGTACAGAATGGCAATTATAATTGCAGTTGATCCATATGATTGCCATTCTTATGGCAGTAAGTTCTGCTTGAAATACACTGCAGTGATTTCCTAAACGAGATATCTGATAATATATTTCAACAGAATCCGAATACACCCCACTGCATTATTAATCTTGGACCCGTCGGTATATATATCCATATCCGCAGAATCTATGTTGGTAAAAATCAAGTTATATCTGCATGTTAAAAAAGGTATTTTATAAAAAGGGACAGGCCTTTCAATCTTCTCTTTATCAAGCATAACATAGCTCGTCTGAACGTTCTTCCCCTGTCTCAGCAGTTGTACCTTTTGAGTTTGTATGATTATTAAATCAATTGGGGGTTTTCTTGCGATAACTTGAAGACTTACAGTAGATGAGTGCGATACGCTTTAGTTATGATTAATAAGTCCTTTCTTTGGGAAGAGAGCAATTTCCGTTTTATATGCACTTTATTAGATGCCCACCCCCATGTGCCACATGCATAGGTAATTATGGGGATATACCTTGTATGTAGAGTCGTAGACGATGGACATAGCTCGAGAGGAAAGTCTCTTCGCATCTTCTGTCTTCACCCAAGGTAGCCTTAAATAAGTGGAACATAGAGAACCCTCTCTGCCTCCCGGCCGCATCTTCTGTCTTCACCCAAGGTAGCCTTAAATAAGCGGGACACAGAGAGCCCTCTCTGCCTCCCGGCCGCATCTTCTGTCTTCACCTAAGGTAGCCTTAAATAAGCGGGACACAGAGAGCTCTCGCTGCCTCCCATATATTCCTGAAGTACAGTATACTTAATCAGAAAATTTTCAGGAAGTCTGAGAAAAACGAAGAATAAAACGTGAAACTTTCGAACGAATTTACGCTAACAATAGCCAACTTACCAATAAATTAACAACAGCCACTTACAGTATAAAAAGCCAACCATACATTCTAACAATTCTTTACGTATTGTTGGAATAATATTTTTAACAACGCGTGACGTATTACGACTCCGTCATGTTTTTACGTTACCTGTTACGTAAAAACATCGGTTTGAAATATTTCAGAAAATATTATCTTGTTAAAATAATATTTATTAGAAACGAGATTATTTGAACTTTTTAAAGTTGAAATCTTTTTTCTAATAAATAAAATTATAAAAGTATCGAATTATTCATTTATTCTAAAGTAATGTTACCTGTATTTTTGAAACTCCAAAGAGCAATTTGTAATAATTGTGGCCCTTTGTACAGTACGCCAGGTAATGCTACCAGAATGTCTTAATACACAAACCTCTCTTAAAAAATTTCAGAGATTTTCGACAAAAGGCACAGGAATGTGCGAAGAAAATCGTGCCCCTTATACACACTAACATCCATACATACAGAAAGAATTCCAGTGGTTTTGTATTTGTCGACGTTTCAAAGTCCCGAGCGCAAAAATGTAGAAATATTGGGAGGGTCATTTTTTGACCGATCGCCATACTTTCCCTCTGTTATATATAACAGAGCCGGAAAAGTAAAAAAACAAGCTTAATTATGTCAGAAGCCGGACTTTAACAAAAATCCTTTTCGATTTCATCATACATATTTTGACAACTAACGTTGTTATCCTTTAATACCTGAGAACTTCAGTTTGCACGTTCTCGGCAGCGAAAGCGACGTTTTCCAATTATTTTTCTACCGTTTTAATATCTGAACTGACAGCTCAATGAAGCAGTCGCCGACCATTCCTCCCCACTCAACAAATCGTCACCCGATCCCAAAACGGAAGTCTACGCCAATTAACTCCGACGCGCCCTCTCTGGGATCTCCTCCATCCCGAATCCGATCGCAACCGCTCGCGTGACTTCACAACAATAAGAACACTGACATTAAACAAAATAGCCCTAGTTGCTGTGCGGTGTTTTCTATCCTGACGTCAAGTGGTGTGGAAGCCTAGTGGGTGCTTGGCGCATTATCTCAATTATACGATTGAGTGATGAAAGGAGATGAACTGATGATGAACACAGGTGTATTTTTATACTTAATAAAGGCTCAATAAAATGTAACGCCAAATCAGAATAGAGAAAAACAAATTTCGTTTTTACTTTCCCGGCTGTTATACAGAGCGAAAGTATGAATTAAAATATTTTGATGCAAATTTTCTTAGAAATTATAATTTTATTTTAGAAACATTATTACTCTCATTGAAACTTTATTAATCTATTATTTAATGTAAATTTCTCTTCATCTAATAATCTTTTAAATATGCTGGTATACTGTATACTCCATACTCCATATTAAGTATACTGAACACAACAAACATATAGTTTTATACCGTAAATAATCTTTTAACTGGGTTATCTAAAAATTACATTGTTTATGCGTAGTTTTAATATTTGATGTAATTATTAATTATATATCATGTATTACTTAGGGGTCTGTCCATAAATGACGTCCATACTGGGAGGGAGGAGGTTACGAAAATTGAGTTTCAATCGTTTATTTCATTAAATTTTATACAGTTTATGAATTTTATTATATTCGAAGTTTTTTATTTGTTTCGTTTGTACTTATGGTATCAATCATTCATAAAGGTTTTAAGGGGAATTGAGTTTTGTTGAACGTCTGAAGAGGGGAGGGGTTACAGAAACTTGGACAAGAGGGGTAGTAAAAATTTCAAAAAAAGTAGGGACATAATATATGGACAGCCCCTTAATCAAAAGATTTGTAATATGTAATGAATACCACTTTTTCAATATATTTTAATAGTTGATGACTGATGATATTAGTCCTCACCTATATTATTAGAATTAAAAGTTTTGTGCATCCATAAATGATCGCATACAATGGCTGTCTGAGTCTAAAAATATTGATTGTCTGGTGACAAAGGATAGTCTACCCACAACTATAAGGCTATCATTTAATTTTTATAAGAAATGAATAAATTTTTTTAAATTTTGTTTAACAATAATATTTAAATTATTATATTATTATTATTAAAAATTATTAAATTGTAAATATTAATTAACACGAAATGTTCATGTTAACATTTCATAGCCTGAAATATCTGTTCATAACAATTCTTGTTAAATGACATTTAAGCTTAGTCTACCTTACTTATTTGAAATATTGCCAATTCTTCAGATGATATCAATGTTAAATGAAACAAATTTCTTTCATTTAACATTGATATTCAAAGGTTATCTATTAATTGAGGCTGTGTTCGTTTATCATTTCACAGTCCAAAATACAGTGGTGCCTCGTACCAGTACTTCAAATGTAATTCGTTCCATCCAAGTCGGAATAAATTTTTCCCATTAGAAATAATGGAAAGTGAATTAACATAGATGTGTGATTTAACTATATTTGTGAAATTTAACATATTAATAGATAATGCGAGATTGTATTCTTTGTTTTGAAGCTTATTTTAAATTTTTTACTTCACATTTGTTTAAATAAAACCAAGCAATGTCTTCGGATAAAAAGTATATCCAGCATATTTTGCTTTATGAGTTTCGGAAAGGACATAACGCCGTACAAACAGCAAAAAAGTATGTTGTATATGACCAAACACCAAAAATAAAACGAAAAAAGCACTAAAAGACACGCGTAATACGAGAGCGAGAGACGACGTGGATACACGACAGATTGCATTCACTTAGCGCAAAGTTTGCACTTCGAAGCAATGTTCGAACTCCGAGGCAAATTTTGCATTTAAAGTACGATGTACCACTGTATCCGTTCAGAAGAATTTGTGTTAAATGATATCAATCATTATCATTTGAAATATTGACGATTGACTTAATCTAACATTGACATTACTTCAATTATATCAATTCAGATCATTCCAATTATACTATTTCAAATGATATTTTTATTAAGATATAAACAAATAAAAAACAATTATTTCTTAAATATAGACCACAGCAGAATCTTTCATGCTAGGAATAACAGCCAGGTGAAATTTTAAACTATTTTACATTTATTTTTTATTAAATATGCATTTTGTTAATAATATTTTATTTCTGCATGTTAAAAAAGGTATTTTATAAAAAGGGACAGGCCTTTCAATCTTCTCTTTATCAAGCATAACATAGCTCGTCTGAACGTTCTTCCCCTGTCTCAGCAGTTGTACCTTTTGAGTTTGTATGATTATTAAATCAATTGGGGGTTTTCTTGCGATAACTTGAAGACTTACAGTAGATGAGTGCGATACGCTTTAGTTATGATTAATAAGTCCTTTCTTTGGGAAGAGAGCAATTTCCGTTTTATATGCACTTTATTAGATGCCCACCCCCATGTGCCACATGCATAGGTAATTATGGGGATATACCTTGTATGTAGAGTCGTAGACGATGGACATAGCTCGAGAGGAAAGTCTCTTCGCATCTTCTGTCTTCACCCAAGGTAGCCTTAAATAAGTGGAACATAGAGAACCCTCTCTGCCTCCCGGCCGCATCTTCTGTCTTCACCCAAGGTAGCCTTNATTTAAATATTTTTTAAAAATTTTCAATGCTTATAATTTTATTGTATAAAATATTTCAGTGTGTTTTCTTTGCTTTGACTGCTTTTGCGTTTCAAACAAAGGTAAGTGTATTTTATATTAAAAAAACACTTTGGACGTTAAAACATTCCATTTAAATTTTAAACTTTGAAGTATTCTAAATACAAATTTAAATTGAAACGAATTAAATAACTTTATATTTTTCATCAGTTATTTAACAATAAATAAAATAAACTTAAAAACATACAAGGTCAACAAAATACAAATAAATATGGGAATAAGGAAAATATATAATAAAAACTATGAGAGTATAACACATAAGCCAAATATGATTATAAGGGGGACACATAATTCAGGGGTTTTAATGCCCAAATCTTTCTTCAATGATGTATTTCCAAGCTGAAGATACTGTAATGTATTTGCTCTTGTAAATCTCTATAGAACACGTGATTGTGAGGTTGGTATCTAAAATCAACAGATGAAAAATAAAATTCTGATGAAATTCATAAAATTGACAAATCAAAATATGGAACTTGTAAGAGATTCTATAAATTTTGAAATGATGTGCAGAAAAAAATCAGATGAAGTTTGTTCAATATAAATACAAAAATTATACTAATGAATTATTCCAAATAACTAATATATAAATAAATAAACTTGCAGTATTTAAATTATAAAATAAAACATTAATTTTATTTTTTTGTAAGTTGAAATTCAAAGTTTAAACATTTAATTATGTTTGTTATACATTATCAATATATGCTGCTTTGTTAAATCTTTATTTAATCACTTAGTACTAATTATTCAAAACCTATTTCTATTGCATTCCAAAATGGTTGTAATAAGTAATATATACTTCGTGTATTGATGATGTTTAGCTAGAAGGGGGCATAACCCGCATTTCTTACATTTGAGTTCTATAGCAGTTTTATTTAAGGAAGACACTGTATATTGTCTGGCAAAAATGGTATAACCAAGGCTTTAATAGTATTGACATTATGTGTTAGGACATAAGCCATAAGACTGCACTCTCACAAACCAGTAAAAGGACATATTCTATTTTAAAGCTGGACCATATTGCCAAAAAATTGTAAATGGAAATCATCAAAAATTCACTAGATTTACACTTATCTGGATGATAGTCTGTGAATAGACCAAAAATAAGTTTTAATGTTGTGTTTTAAGTTTGAAATGATTTAAAACCAGTGTTGTAACTAGGCAGGTGCAACAGGTGCACCCGCACAGGGCCCAAAATGCATGTATTTGTTTTATTATTTTCCCAAACCTAATTAATTAAGGGACCTTAATGCAAATTCCTGCACAGGACACAGGAATGGCTAGTTACGGCACTGTTTAAAACAGTGATTCTATTATGAAAAAATGTTTCATTCAGCAATTTCTAAATATGAAATGTTTTTTACTTCTGATTGTGAAAGTAACCATGATTTATTAATGTTATACATTTATAATTTTAGATTGATTTCACACTGTATTCTGGCTTCCTGTTTGTTGCAATGATTGTGCTAATTATATTTGGATTTGTAGCTATATTTCTTCCTCATAACAGAGTAAGTAATATTAAATTAAAAATATTACATTTTACTAATTTTTATTTTTAATTGAATATTTAATGTTTTTATAAACAGCAAAACATTCTGATAAGTTATAGCCTTGATTTGATATATTCAATGCCAATTGTTTCATCTTGTATATTAAATATAAGTTAAATTATAAAAACTTTTAAATATAAATTACAAACTCTTTTCTTCCTTATCTCTTACATCTTAAATATAAATATATAGTTTATGAGGATCTTTTTATATTTCATTTTTAGCCAATTTTATTGAAATCCATTTTCCATAAGATATGCAGGATCCTTTAATACATTTGAATAAAAGTAATTTTTCATTTCTAGATGATCTGAATTTTAGACAGATTATAATTAATAACAACTAAATTTAAAAGACTATTAACTATTATTTATTTTATACATGAAGCTTCTCAAATGTAATCAGACATGAAATCTTTTTTTTTTTTTAAATAATTTCTTTATTGAAGTATTTTTGTGTTATAAACCCATCTTCAGAAGTCATAGAATAAAAAATTAAATTAAAAATTAAATTTCTAATTTAACTTGATTCAAAAATAAAGTTAAATTAGAAATTCAAGAAGAAAAATTTGAATTTATTTTTAAAGTAAATATAATCATTTGGGTAAAGTCAGTATCAGAATACTTAAAATGGAATTAAATGATTGATTAATCTTTGGTATGGATTATTTGATAAGCTTATGATTCCTATTCTCATACTTTTTATACTAAAAATATTGTTATCTTATATTTCTAATTGGATTATTCTAATTGGCCATCTGATTGGAAGAGAATATAATAAATATTGTGAGATTGTTATGTACTGTACCTGCAAGACATGTAGATTTGAGTGTATATGATTGAAGCCTCTTTTTTGCTCTTGATTTAAATTTTAATACATTCTGCAAAGATGGGATGAATCAATGTTTGTCACCATATTATTGTCCCAAAGGGTAAGAAAGAAGCATCAAACATATTTGCAGCATTCTACTGTTTATCAGACATTGTTATTATATCAGCAAAATAACCAAGTTTAAAAATTCAATCTGCTGTGAGTCTTGGTGTTTTCTGATTGAATTACTAAATCATGGAAGAACAATAAAGGCAGATAGTTTTTTCAGGGTTTCATAATTTCTACGAGGCCCATTCAAAACAAATAACATAGTCAAAGCTCTCTGCACTTTATTAAATTCATGACAGTATAGGCTACTATTGAATATTGTTGTTCAAACAAGCCTACTGCTGAACAATTCTGATGGAAAATATTTCATCATCTATCCTATAGTCTTGAACTTGAATTTGCTGACTTTCAGCCTACTTTTGCATTTGAAGGCATTTCAGTGGGAAAATGATTCAACATGAATGAAACAAAGATTGTGAAAAATTGGTTAAGTATCTGGCAGCAGACAAGAGGATAAAAATGTTGTGATAAGAAGGTTTTTCACTGTTGGAGATGATTATGTTGAAAAGTAGACAAATGGGTGTGTGTAAACTTTTGACAATGAAGGGATATCCAAAACGTTGTTTTTGTGTTTTTTATGGTCAATCAGAATTCATTTTCCAATTGCCACTCATATCTAAAAATGCGACAGAAATTCTTATGATATTCCATTTTTACTATGCTATTTCCAGCACAATAATAATCTTAAATGGTTGTTCATAGATAAATAACCTGTAAATGGACTTTACCTTGTAATGTATTATTTTGTAAGTAAAATTTTTATGAATGTGTTATGATGATTGAGATAAATTAATTTTATGATAAAATAATAAAATAAATTTACAATCAACATAGTAAAAATATGTTGTTTAAAAATTTTTAGTTGATTCTTTTATTTTATCAAAATTATATGTCTGATTAAAAAGTTTTCCTTATAATAAACCCAATATAGAATCTACCATTTTTAATGTTAACTATCCAACATCATTTATTCTGAAATGATGTTTAGACAATAGAACAAATATCATGTTTAAAATAGGTAACCAAAGATGGAAATACTTTTCCTGAAAATATTTCAAATACCTTGAATAAATTTTGATTTCAGAGAATATATTCATTTTAATATTTAAATAAATTAAATTGAGTCATTTTTTCTTTAATTGCTTGCTTTGTTTCTTTGCATAATATGAATACTGTGTACAAATATAACTTTTAAGAGAAAACAACACATGTTTTAGTACATAGTAGGAGTTCACTAATTCAGAATAATTGTGAGAAAGCCTAGTCTGAATTAGTTAGGTGCTTACTCAAATGCATATTGTATGGTCTGAAAAGTACACTTTATCTAAAGTAAAATTTTATTGTCCACTTTAAATGAACACAAACAATGGTTTGAATACAGTAGCATTGTTTTTTGTCACTGCCAACATTTACTAATTTGGTCTTTAAAAAAAAAAACCAGCTAATCCTAAAAAATTTTAAAGTTAAATTAATTAGATCAAAATATAGTCAGACAGATGAATTCATACTCAAAAATGAATTTATCTACTGACAATTTTGTTAAATTTAGAGATTCATTATTTAAGAAAAAGACACAAATAAAAATAGCAGTTTGAATGATTACTAACTTGAAATTTAGCAAAGTTCAAATTAGCAAGGTTTTATTGTAAATTGATTTTACTTATTTTTACTATATATGAATTCTAAAATTAATGACTATAACAGACAGATAAAGTATATTATATTGATTTCAAAATTTGTTAAACTAGTCTAATTTAAAAAGTAATTTATTTGTCATAATTGTAAAATGTTAGTAATTCAGATTTCATTAATATTTTAGATTTTGAATCTGGTCTATGCTTCTATTGGTGCTCTCCTTTTCTCTTTGGTAAATAATAAATTTTTTTAAAGTTTATTTACAACAAACTAAAAATGAATTAATTAATTAGATAAAAATATTTATACAATTTCAGTACATTATCTTTGATACTCAGTTGATGCTTGGAGGAAAACTTAAATATGCAATTTCACCAGAAGAATACATTTTTGCTGTTCTCAACTTGTATTTGGATATTATTAACCTCTTTTTAATGATTCTTCAAATATTTGCCAATTCAACAAGTGAATAATTTGTAACTGAGTTTATAATCAATTCATAATCACAGTTTTTTTAATTTATAATAATTCAAGAAATATACACAATTACATTTTGTAAAATTCTAAAATATAAATTATTATTCTATTAAGTGATTTTACAATGCATAAAAATTCATAAATACCACAAAACAGTTGATATATAATAATTACAGAAGTAAAATCTTCTATTTTTGATACCTTTCATATAACATATTTAAATAAAAATACAGAATGTAATTTTTATAAACTGTTCATATACAGATTTCAAACACTTGATTTTTAATATGCATTAGATATTTCAGAACTTTCTATTTTTCTATGAAAACTGCAATATAAAATATATTGACATTTTGTAAATATACACCCAGTTACATTAGTGAATTAGCCAAGATTTTTCATTTGAAAAAATTACTATTAATTAAAATTTTTTTTTTAAAATTTAACAAATTACTTAAGTTTGTTAATTTACCATAATGAATATCAACATAAGACATAAGTCTGAAATTTGATACACTATACAAAAATTTAGTGAATTGCTATAGTTATACATTACATCTCAAATGCTTAGGTAATAAATATTTTTGCTAGGTTGTTTATGAAAAATTTGTTTTGGTGAATTTGAATGATTGTGTGAAGATATATTGATTGAAAATAATCAGCAAAAATTTGGAAAATTGTTATAAAAGTAAACAAACTTTTGAGACTGATATATACTAAGGAACTTAAGAGGTAGTTACAACATTCTTATAACATTATATTAAAGTTGGTTAGTGCTTTTTTTGCACATGAGTTATTTTATTAATGTGCAAAAAAACTGTTACATTGTTTAAATCACCAAACGATCACCTTAATATCGGGCTATAAATTTATTTAATTATAATTATTAATTTAATTAAGAGATGGCGCCTAACGTTACCTCTAATGTCAAGTTACATTGTTTATTTGTTTGTTAGTCACACTCTTATTCCACAAGAAAAAAACATCATATTTATACAAATAATTGATGGTTAGACTGCATTATAGTGTTAAGATTGAAATAATAGACTGTTTCTTGTGTAGTTAAATTTGATACTTTGATATAGTGACTGTTAATTGATTGACTTTATGTATGCACCCTTTATACAGTTACAAATTTTGTATCACTACATAAGTGATGATTGATTTGAATTCCCAAAATAGAAATCTTGCATGTATTCCCTGAGGCAAATACAGTACAGACTCATAGAGGTCTTAGCTAGCCAGTGAAAAGAAAAAAATCTAGGCCTAACCTTGAAGAAGAAAAATGAACAACAATCAGACATGATTTGAAGCATTCAAAGAGTATAGAAAGCAGTAAGACAAGTGAATGAATGAAAAGTAACTCATCACAATACATTTGGTTATATTGCACCTATAATTAAATGAAAGAATCATGTTTGACTGTTAATACAAGTGCCTGTAATTTGTAGCATTCTTTAGATAATAAATACTTATTTAAACAAATCTGTCCAAAGACTTGCAATATTCTTTTATTGTTAAGTTTCATGTGTTGAAATATGGAAAATATCCTATATGGAGCTGTTACTGCAAGGAAAATGGTTATTATTTCAAATAACCACTTTCCTTAACTGCTATAACTGCTTTTTCCTGATCTATACTCAAGGCTGTAATTAAAAACTATAAATTCTGACTCCATGATCACTCAGTTTTTAAGTATCCATGATGGTTTCAAAGATTTACATTCATTTATCATTCATAAACACACTTCACACCAATAATCAAACAAAATGCAATACTATCTTTTAACAATGTTTGTTTGATAATTTTGTCAGATTTAATCTTATCATTTGAAATAATATTTGTTAATAAATATCATTATTTATTAACAAAATGTTTGATTATTGGTGTGAAGTGTGTTTATGAATGATAAATGAATGTAAATCTTTGAAACCATCATGGCTACTTAAAAACTGAGTGGTCATGCAGTCAGAATTTATAATTTTTAATTACAGCCTTGAGTATAGATCAGGAAAAAGCAGTTATATACCTATGTTCAAATGCATCAAATACCAAAAATTCTACTGATCAATATTTGAAATCTTAGTAATATGTTTGTAGTGAGTGTAATGGTGTTCAGATGTATGTGAGAGTGGGTTGAAAAGTATTGCAAACTTTTACTATCTCCATCTATGGGTATAACTTCTTATGTAAGGGTATGTTCTGTTGATTAAAATATATTTTTATGTATTTATAATATTTGTTAAATCCCAAGTAAAATATTTTAAAAAATCATCTAGAAGCAATGCAGGCTGGATAAAGCCTCATTTCTAAATTGGCTAGTCCCCAACTATGGCCTGCAATATCAGTTGTAATGTTTCAATGAGCTCCAATTTTCAAATTGTAGTACCTATATATTAATATTTCCACTGTCATCTGTCTCTATCCTTCATTAATCTTAAGAACAGAATTAGATAGATGAAAATCAAGATCAGATGCTGGAGACCACAATAAACTATACACAAACTTCAAGTCTGGACTGGAAGTCATGTGATTTCAATTCAACATTTTATCAAGAACAGAGTTAGATAGATGATTGGCATGACTTGATTGTTATCAGGCAAAGTATGATGTACAGGGGCAAAGACACCACTAAAATCCAGATCAGATATGGAAAGCTTAGGGATCAGAAACTCCAATTAACGATATACAAATTTCCAGTCTGGACTGGAATATATAGTTATTTGGACTGAAGTTTGAGCTGAAAGTCAGTGATTTTTTTCTATAAATTAAAAATTTCAGCCCCGCATTATGACTATCACAATAAATAATTGCTTGTTTTTTCTGATATTTTGCTTCATTTAAGCAATAGTGACTAATAGTCAATGTGAATTTTTTTTTAAAAAAAAGGAAAATATTAAATATTGCACAGTCAAAGTATTTTCTAAAAAAATTGTTGGCAAAAGAAATCCATGAAGATATTATAAATAAATTGTGTAAGGAGTTCCCTTCATATGCATCTGTTTGGCACTGGGTAAATGAGTTCAAGAGAGGAAAAACTAGTGTTGATGATGATCCATGCAGTGGGCATCCAAAAGACAGTCACTACACAGTAATGATCAACAGAATGCATGATCTTGTTATGAATAACCAACAACTGAAATTGACAGATAGCAATGATGATGAGCATAACGAAGGAATAGATATTTTTTTATTTTAATGGCGGAACTGGATTTACAAAAGCACTCTGTAAGATGGGTGCTGCAATTACTGTCTACAGAGAAATGCACTTGATGTCAATTTTCTCAGGTTGGTTTAGACAAGTTTACCAAAAATCCAATGGAATTTTTGCATTGCTTTTTAATAATGAATTAGACTTTAGTTCACTATTACACACCAGACCAAGGAGAAGTTAAAACAGTGGACCCATCATGGGGTCTCTGCCTCCAAGGAAGTCAAAATTCATTCCATCAGCTGGGAAGCTTGCCATCCATTTTTACTTTCCTGGCTATTATACGTAACAGAGGGAAAGTATGGCAATAAGTCAAAAAAATGACTCCCAAGTTTTTTACATTTTTGGAATCAGGACACCTTAAAATATCAAGAAATGCAAAAAAATTCAGGAGTAATTTCTGTATGTATGAATGTTAGTGTGTGGGGGGCAAGATTTTGTTCACCCACTTTGAGACTTAATAATTCCTGTGCTTTTTGTTGAAAATTTCAGGGAGATTTGTTTATTAGGGAATTAATGTTATTAAATTTTGGTGATTAAATGTTGAGGGTGGGGAGATAAAGGGGTCATGTGTATCTCTAGTAGGGTTGAACTTAATGATGATTTTACTAGTTATTAGCATTTACAACTTTTTATAAAATCCATCCATACTCTCAAAATTAAGCTTTTTGCAATTTTATAATAATTAAAAATATAAAAAGTTTTTAAAATATCATAACAGATGGCACCATCAAATGTTGTTGAATGTTTTGGGATGCAAAGGAATATTTCTCAGGGTGAAACTATTTCTGGAAAATACTATGCTGACCTTCTAGACGAATGATCATAATTAGTGATAAAATGTTTTGAATTGGAAAAAAACGAGAATCCTGTTCCACCATAACAATGTGCCTGCCTGTGTTGTGACTCAAAAATTGGAAGAGTTAAGAATTGAGGTACAGGTAACCCCCGTATAACATGGCACTTCTATAGCATGGGTACTCTAACACTGTTCGGGAATTGGGTAAAACCCTCGTACAACATGAAATGTAAAAAAGGGTGCGTTCTTTTATACCTCCGCATAACTCCATGCGAACATTCTAATTGTTTCTGTGGCTACTTTGAATGCTCTTTGAACAAATAATCCATTTAATGGTTAAATTTTACAATTGGGACCCTTCTTTTCCCTCTAAAAGCTCATTTTAAATTATAGATTCCTCCAACACGATACTATCGATAGTGCGGGCGCCACCATCTTTCTTTCACCGTTGTTCCTAAATGCCTACAAACAGCAGAGCAACCTCTATTAACAAACATCCAAAATCTGTTACCAGTTGATGATGCTCATGCTGAGATTGTCATATAGGATGAATAATCCTCTGGTAAAATATTTACTTAAATAAATATTTTACCTATGAAAAAATGAATAATAAATCCGATTTAAATAAGGATTTAACAGCATGTTTTTTAATTTTTGGAACATAACCCCCCTTTTCGCACTAGTTCTTTGTTTCGTATAACATGGATTAGCATAACACAGCAATTTTTTGGAACGTAACTCCTGTGTTATACGGGGGTTACCCGTAGTTGTCCTCCAAAAGCCAAACAATTACTGGATTACATTGGGCTACTTTTCTGCAATCATATTTAATTAGTTACTAAATAATTTTTCTATAGGGAAGTGTTAGGCACTATCGTTTATTAAATTTGACAAATTTCAACATTATAAAATTTTGACGAAAATAATAATTTAATTAATTTCCATACCAGAAAACATACAGGTATATAAATGTGTTTTCAGCTGGAGATACTAATATGATTAATTATCTGTTATCAAGTGGAGAAATATCTAATATTGCTAAAGCTTTTGTTACTGGAATTTTAAAAGGTATTGTACATTAATGTTTTATCATTGTGGAAAGAAAACTGTCACTTATTCCTTAACTTATATTTACACTATAGTCTTGCATATGAGCACATGTCATGGACAAACAAATGATGCAAATAACCTAGTGATAAAAAAATGGAATTTAAATGGTCCTAATGGTTGGATAGATTATTCGTATAATCTATAAAAGGTAAATTGTTACTTGACATTATCTGTGGGAAATTTGTA